ACACCAGTACAGGGGTGGTGGGCAGGGGGTGGTTGAGCCAAACAGTTCATAAGACTGTGGGCAAAAACTAGATGTCAGTTCCTATTTTATTTACACCTTATAAATTTTCTAGTTTTGTGAGAATTTCATAATGTATCAATGCCCACATTTCAAGACGTATCTTCAACTTTATTTTATTGATTAGGACAAATGGGATCAAAAAATGTTTGGAGTCCACAATTCCGAAGACTGTTCATTATGCTCTGTGATATGCTCATTCCCAAGCAGAGTGCAGGGTGGATAAGGATCTTCTCTTTCTGCTCCCAAGACAGCCTTCCTCTTGCCTGCCTCACACTGCCCCAGGACCTTGGATGGGGTCAGAGGAAGGACCAGCTGTGAAAGGAACCTCTGGTTGGGATGATTCCTGTAGGAGTTTCTGCAGCAGATTAAATGCCCTGACATCACCTTTTGACCAGTTGTAATTTGGGGTATTATGAGTTGAATTGTGTCTCCCAAAAAAAGATATGTTGAAGTCTTAACCCCTAGTACCTATAAATGTTACCTTACTTGGAAATAGGGTCATTATAGATATAATCAATTTAAGATGAAGTGATTCTTCTTGCTATACTCTCAAAACACAGATCCTTAAAGTTTGAATAAAAAAAGAAACCCATAGACAAAGAGGTTAGTGAGCAGGTTATGGTTTTCTGTGATGGATATGATTTAGGAAAGCAGAGGGAGGCATTTGATGGGGCAGTTGCCTATTCACTGACCTCACTGGGGCTCACTGCCGCTTTGCAAACTTTCCGAAATAAAAACTCAGTGTGTTTCCTTTTACCAACATTATCTGTCACTCCAACAGGTTCACCAGCATCACAGGAGGTGCAGATGAACCATCCGGGGTGAGCAGCTGATTCCAGTGTGCTCAGGGAGCCCACCTTACACCTATAAAAGATGAAGTGCTGGAGTGCTGGCTCTTTCTGGACAGTCAGGTGGGTAAGTTTCTTCTTCTACAAGGTAAACAGAGATTGATTAGATAGCGCAGGCTTTGAGAGGGAGAAAAACCCAGCACATGTGCTCTGCTCCAGGGAAGTTGGGGTGTCAGTCTTGATACAGGTCCTTTGCATAGGAGTGGAGGAAAAGATGGAAGGCAGGGTGGTCCTTGGGGAAGTTGGGGTGTCAGTCTTGATACAGGTATTCTAAGAGGTGATAAGTAATCATGCCTTCTCTTCCATGCACCTCTTTTCCCCAGAATTAAAAATAAATTGAGAGAGAAATGCAGGAGTCAGATGGACACCAAAATATCAGCTCTATAGTTTTAACTTAGATTAGAGAATACAGCTTAGATCTGCAGCCAGACTTAGGCTTCCTAAGAGTCCTCCCCTCAAGTGAAAGGATAACCCATCTAAGACTAAGTTTGCAGAGCAGACACACCGCCTTCCAACTGCTGCCTCACAGCCTCCAACCCTTCAGTGGCACACAGGATCCCAACCCAGGTGCCCTGTGGGCCACACAGAGGGCCAGAGCAGGAGAGCACAGCACGCCCAGGGCAGGTGATCCTGGAGAGGAGGGAGGGCTGCTTGCACCTGCTTGGCTCCTCCTCCTGTCTCCCCATCATGCAGAGTCCCTCCTCCTTCCCCAGAAGGGGCACAAAGCCAGAGGAGGGTAGGAAACTTTTGTCTGGTGCTTCCAGAACAGTGGATGCTCCTGTTATACTGGCCAAAGTAAGAATTTGCAGGGAGAGCGAGAGGCACTGAGGACCCTGGTCTTCCGCATATGGGTGGCTGAAGTCACAGGAAATTGGGCTGGAATGCTTACCTTCAGCTGAAGGGATGGTTGACTTTGTCCTTTTTCCTTGTTACAGCAGAGACATAACTCTCCTTTAGAAACTGCCAGGTGAATTGGACTTCCTTTCTCCTGGTGGGCTGAGCGCACGTGCAAGGCTATTATAAAGAAGGTCTCTGTAAAAGGACCATCAGAGAATGGGTCAGTTCTCAGAGCAAGGAAAATCTCTCCTGTCTGCTGGGCTTTCAGGCTGACTCTGTGGTCAAAATCCTCCTCCCCTTCCGTCATGCTGGTACGAGCCTCTCTTCTTCCACAGTCTGCACATCTGGCTCCTCTTTCAGCCCTTCCAGAAAGACTCCCCTCAGATATGGTCATTGTCACAGATCCTCGTATGTTCCTAAGGGTCCCTGGGGCTTCTCCCCACTGCCACCATTTGCTAGAGCTGGGGGTGTGGTCTAGCAGAGAGCCGAGCCCACTTGGAGGGATGCCTTACCCTGACTGGGAGGGGACAGAAAACACAGCCAAGGAGAGAGTCACCTGGGAGTATATATCTTTTATCTGGAACTGCCCTGAGGATCTCGCCATCCAGAACCAACACTTTGTTGTCCCGATCACGAATGCTGAACTTCTCTGGCTCCTTGATGTTCACTTTTGGACCTAGATCAATATAACCAGATGTCAACACTTCACATTGAGAATGAAAGACTCAGCCCTTTGCACCCCACTTCTGAAGGGCCCGGCCCCAGCTCTCCACCCTGCCTGTGGGATGGGACCTCACAGCTGCTGAATATTTCTTCCACTCCAGACTATCTGCCTTGCAGGGAAAAGCAATTTAGCTGTGTCTGTAAGCACGTGGGTTCCAGATTTTGACAAATTGATTCAAATCCAAGCTCTGTCACTGCTGCTTTAGGACCTAGGACCAGTTACTGAATCTCTTTGAACCTTAAAGTCATCATCTGTGAAATGAGGATAATAACAGCAGCTACCTGAGAGGAGAGTTGTGAGGATTAAAATGCTTACTTGAAAGAGTTGCACTTCTCCCCAGCTAAGAAAGTGTCTGAGAAAGAAGTCAGTATGTATTAATCATTGTCCTTCTTAACCCTCTTTCCTGCACCCTGTGACTGAGGGCATCATGCCACCAGCAGTGCGTGGGAAGGGGGAGGTCCCTGCACTAGCTGGTCCAAGGGAGGAACAGCGGAAAGGGCGGGGTGGGGAACAGAGGCAGGAAGCACCAGGAGCCCAGTGTGGTGCAAGACTGAGCTGGCTCTGCAGAGGTGCTTTCGAAAAGCCACAGCCCTGGGAACCTCTTCGAGCAGGCAGGACCAGCCTTAACAGGAGCCAGGGCATTCCTCACACCGTGGGCTCTTAAACTCATGCCAACCAGTCCTGCC